TATTCTCTGGTTCCATGAAATGAGGGGAAAAGTATGGGGAAGGCCATACTTGAGGACTAGAGAAAATGGAGATTTAGATTCTGGGAAGTCAGCTTTATCTTAAAAGTATCCACAAGCATATGTTACCATGAGAAGGACTTGGCTTGGGATTCACAAGACAGTGCTGAGGACAAGTAAATGTTTCCCCTGTAAAGGGGCAGGACATGCAGTACAACAGATCTCAGATCCAAAAGGTGTGGTTATAAAGGATTATTTCATTCAATTATTTTTCAGCATAGAAAACAAGCTTATAATTTGTATGTGTTTTTTATACTTTATCCTAAAAATAACTTCACTCAGGTATCGATTCAGCACTTCAATGACTGATGAGAGAAATCAACCTCTCTACAAAAAATACTGCAGAGAAATTTGGCATTTTGAAAACTTATTACTAATTTTACTTTTCAACTGAAACATAACATTAATAAGACTGCAGTCAAAGGCTAAGAACATATGTTATTTGATGTTTTAGATGAATCATGCTATGCAGGAGATGTTCCCCAGTCTCGTTTTTAAGAGGATCATCAGTGTGAAAGCTCTTAATACACTGCTTTACTCTGTCAAGACTTCTAATACCTCCAGCCAGACTGCCTGATATGCCTCAAGGTACATCTCCCTTGTTCTCACACCATCCAACACGTACAGCATCGTAATGAGTGCATGGAAAACTGACACATCCATAAGGTGCTCCCTGAGAAACATTTCTCTAAAGTCTGATTATCCCAGGACCCAGGCCCAGCCATCAGTGTTAATGATGGCAGCTGGCACAGCACAGTGCCCCGGGCATTCCTCTGCAAGGTCATTCTGCAGCAGTTTTGTTTCACATCCATGTTTATCATTGCCTTTAAGCACAAATGCAATTGCTTTCCAGTGTGCCCAGACTTGTGTGGCTCCTAAGTCACTGAAAACATGAAGTCACAAACCACAGCAGTTCTCTGCAACGCTTCTGTTCCTCTCTTAAAATTAAAATATCACTTTTAGTGTTTTGTTTTTACGGTACTTAAGCAAAGATCGCTCAAACCTGCACCTCCCTGAAAGGAGTAATTCCTAACCCTAAGAATAAGGGTTTCCAGCCTGACAGTTAAACAGTAGAGTATTGGGTTTGTGGGGGGGCTGCAGTGGTGGTTTCTCTGCCAAGATTCCAAAAGCTTCTCCCATGTCCAGTAGAGTCAATCCCAGCCAGCTCCAGGACAGACCCACCACTGGCCAGGCTGAGCCCGACCATGACAGTGGCAGCATCTCTGGGGCAAAGTATTCAAGAAGGGAGAAAAAACCCTGCACAAAAGCTGGGAGAGAGCAGCGAGGATGGATGCGAGAGGAACAGCTCTGCAGACCCCGGGCAGTGCAGCAGGAGGGGCTCCAGGCACAGGGGCTGAGGTTCCCCTGCAGCCCCTGGGGAGGCAGCTGTGCCCTGCAGCACAGGGGGGTCCTGATAGATCAGAGACCCCCTGCAGGAGCCCACACTGGAGCAGGGGTTGCCCAAGGGAGACTGTGACCCTGTGGGCATCCCACACTGGATCAGGCTCCTGGCAAGATCTGTGGAGCCATGGGGAGAGGAGTCCTCTCTGGAATAGGTTTGGTGGCAGGACTAGTGACCCCGTTGGAGCAGCCTGTTCCTGAAGGGCTGATCCCATGGAAAGGGCCCACTCTGGAGCAGCTTGTGAGGAACTGCAGCCCGTGGGAAGGACTCACTTTGGAGAAGTTCATGGAGAACTGTCTTCCCTGGGAGGGACCATTCACTGGAGCAGGGAAAGGACTCATCTCCCTGAGGAGGAAGGAGTGGCAGAGACAACCCATGGTGACCTGACCATAACCTTCAATGCCCACGTTCCTGCACAGCTGTACCATAAATGAGGAACTGTGGGACTTCAAGGCCCACCTGTGATCCAAGGCTGATGTCCATAAAGACTTGCAATAATACAGTTTGGAGAAGTGGGGAGAGAGATGGAAGTAGAGTCACAGTGAGCAGACAGCCAGGACAGTGAAAGTAAAGGATAACTGCAGTGGCTCCAGGGAGGAATGAGCCCTGGAACTGCTCCAGGACAGCACACCCTGCACAATTGGATCATGTCTTGTGAAGAGTAAGTACAGGTTTCTCCACCCCCAAGTATTCAAGGAAACAACTCATGTGGCACAAAGCAAAACCCTGCATGTTTTTAGAAGCTGATGCAAATTCAAGAAAGGGGCAGGAAAGGCCTCTCTTTTCTTTTCCTTTATTGCTGTTATTTGGATTACATTCCTGTAACATTTTTAAGGTGTTCAAAGACTTGTGGTGAATAACATACTTCCTGGTCACTTGTCTGTCTAGCAAGACCTATTTTTTCTAAGATTTATGCTGACTGTCTAATAAGAGTGGTCTGAATGTCCTCATAAAAGTAAAAAATAGACAAGATAAGGTCTATTTCTTTTTAGAAGAACCACAGTACATTTCTCTTTTAAGTCCTATTTCTGTTTATCCAAGCCTTCCAGAGCAAAACTCATCCCAAACAAACAGCCACAGCAGCCAATTGCAAGGATTTCAATCAGCACAAATGTTTAACAACATGTACTTGCTGCCCCGGGGGCTTTCAGTAAATAGTGCAGTGAAATATGTCCCCTCTAAACCAGGAGAGACTTAAAAATACTTCTCAGAAGAAAACCAGATAAAGCACGGATAGAAGTCCTACAAAAGAATTTAAACAATTTTGTTCAAGCCACAGGAAATCATCAAGATGAAGAGAGAAGGATGTAATTCTCTGGATACACAATCTCACTGATTGGTTTGTGTGTGTCAAAGCAGCATGGAGAAGAAACAGCACAGAAACCACTGTTTCAACTTCCACATGTGTCCTTGTGGTCCGTGAAAGGATGAGGAAGTTCACAGCCATGAATGTGTGAGAAAAACAGCCACAGACATGGCTAATGAAACTAAAAAACAGTCAAGTCAGAGGTTGTGTTTGGTCTCTCACTGGTAGCACAGCAAGGTCATTAGAGAAAGCAATATCAAAGCATTTATCTTGCTATTACTTGGACACTTTTCCCCCACACCATCCCTCAGAAGTGTTCTGCTAATTGTCAGGCACTCTGTTTACTTTCAGTTTCAATCTCTTTCTCCTCATACGACAATTTTTGGAAAATATTTCCTTTTTCACTTCTGAGAGCTGTGGAAGCCACCAATCTGCTGCCATGCCTGGTTAAGGATCAGAGTCCAGTGACCAACAATGTGAGTTCAGATGCACTGTGTCAGAGAACTTAATCCTCAGGAAAGTACAAAAGCAAGAAAAGAAAAAGGCTTCTGGACATTTGCTTTAGAAGATGGTGAGAAAAGCTTAACTTTTTTTTAAGCTGTTCCTGTATGACTCCTACTTTCTCTTCTTAGGAAGTTAAGCTGGTTCTATTTAAGTCCTATTTTTCATATTTCATGCAACGTGGGCCCAAATTTCTGAAAAAACTGCCCAATTGGGTCTACTATGAGAAGGAACATAGGCCATGCAAAATAGAAAGGGCATGCAAAGGGAATATTGTTAAGACAGGAGAGTTAACAGCTTAAGGGTTCAAAGGGTAAATGCCAACATCAAAAGCTAGAAAACACTTCGGGGGATTGCACAGGGTGTGAAGAAAACAACACCCTTTATGCACTAACCATTATTTTAACTGATATCTTCCTCCCTCACCATCTATTAATGTGAGAATCAGAAAATGAAGAACATCTTTTGCTCTCTACTTAACAGACACATCTCACTGCCTTTAATAGAGCAGAAAAAGCAGAACTTGCAGTGCATTAACAAAGTGCATAAAAGATGCATTTGAAACATGAAAACTAAGAAATAAAGATGTTTTCATCCTTGCTGATGTCAGGCTATGTTTTTCAATAGAAATAGACTAATTCTAACCAATGATTAGGATATTAAAACTTTTGAAAGGTACAATAAAAAAAGAAAAATATATAGTCAGTAAGTATAGCTTCCAAGTGCACATGTACAGGGAATAAAAAGGGCATTTAAATAATAATAGTGATAATAATTAGTGCATTTAAAGATCTAGTCAAAGGATATTACATTTTTCTTCTTAGAAAAAAATCTTGTAATAATTATCCATCTGCCTTTCATTGTATGAAAGCAGCCTACAAACACTGTAAAAACATTTGTATGAACTAATGTTCAACTACACATTAAATGTTTAAATTGCCTCTTTTTAATTGTGCAGCCTATATTTCCCTTAAATTTAATTATAATGGACCTCAATCTTCTGTGAGTGTTACACACCAAAATTTGTTTATAATTTCTTATTTTAATGCCATGCACTTTTATTTGTGAACATTTTCTGGGATTGGGTTTTAATCAATAACCAGCTACTGGGTTAAGTTAAAGTATCAAAGTTACAGTAAAGGAGGGTGGGGAATTGTGGATATATGATAATACCTGTCCGAACCAAATAACTCACAACATCCCTTACAAAGAAAATAAATCTAGGTGACAAACAGATAAATTCCTCAGAATTACTTGAGCTGAGGCAACGTTCACCAGCATCCATTCTAGCACAAGTCAAAATAGTTTCTATTACTAGAAATTATACACAGAAACAGCCCCGAGCTCTGATGAACACAAATATTTTGATTTTTCAGTTTTAAAAGCTTTACTGTTATTCAAGGCCAGGTTGGATGGGGCTTGGAGCATCCAAGGTGTCCCTGCCCCTGGCAGGGGGTGGAATGAGATGATTTTTAAGGCCCCTTCCAACCCAAACCATTCTGGGATTTCTCCAGGCTGCAGAGGATTTCTCTCCTTTTTAGACTTATACTCAAACCTTACACCAAGTATCCGAAATAATACATTAAAATAAATCTCTTATTTCATCAGTGATGGAATTTTGCGTAACCAGGTACAGAGGCATTAAAATGGCACTTCCACTGACATCACAACCCCTCAGGCTCCTGGAATGACATGGAATGACAGCTCTGGGGCTGTTACCACATCAATGGGAGCGTGAGAGACACTTCATTGGCACTGTAACAGCTCCAGAGCCTGGAAAGTGAGAGTAATGACTCTTCTGGGGCTGTTATTGTGTCAGAGGAAATATTAATGAGACCCTTCATTGATGTTATAACAGCTCTTACACCAGGCTCGTAAGTAAAACCCCAGAAATTTGTCAATAAAAATTATCAAGCTTAAAAAAAAAAAAAAAAAAAAAAGGCTACAGTGCTCAAGGAAAACAGAAACATTCAGAAGGTGAGTTTCTTTCAGCTTCACTGAAACAAGTTTATGTACAAACATACTACTAAAACCAACAAGCACATCCGGCTCCTCACAGGAAAAGCATCAGCAGGCACAGGTGAAAACAATGCCAAGAACTGCTCCCCATCCTTAAAACCATAATTAAGGTACTGGCCCTTTATGACTTGTACTTACAATAAACTTTTCCTTTAAGGTACATCTGTAAAGAATAAGTGTTTTTATTAATGCTTCATAACTTCAAGAAAAGTAACTTATGATTAAGAGTCAAAATAAGTGATTTTCAGTCTGTGGTATTTCATTATTTACTTGAACTCTTTGGCAAATATTTGTTTAAAAGATGTAAGTTCTGCAGCCCTAATCCTTAAAAAAATAATGCTCATGGGAAAAGTGCTAATGTACTGAATTCATTATCTGAGGCCACAAACTAATTGTCAATCCATGTGTGATTTGTTAAACTAAAATAAATCCAATTAGATTTCCCCAGTTACATATAACTGACAGAAATTTAGAATTTTAATAATACTATAAACCACGAACAAGGGCCTTATTTCTTTGTGGTAAATTTAAAAAAAAAATTAACTTCATATTTTGCTCTTTGCAGCCACTTCATGGATTCAATTTTTTCTGTTAAGAAAATCCCCTTGAATAGATTCTGCAAGGACTGCTTTTGTGTGTCTTGGCCAGGACTGCCTGAATCACAGACCTAGTGCTGAAGGTCCATGTTCTATAACCTAGAAAGCCACCAGGAAAAGTTTAGGAAAACTTAATAAATAAATAAATAAATAAACACAAGCCCAAACAGTAATGGCAACACTCTGCTAATTAAAAACAGTGGGGAAGGTCATTACAGACACACATTGGGATGATGCAATATTGACAAACCAACCTCCTCACATGTCCCAAGCTGGGGAGAGTGGGGTAGGGACTGCAGAAAACCCAGAAATCCATCAAGACATATCTTTTCCCCTACAGCAGAATTGTCCCTGCAAGAGAAGCTCAGGAAATGAAAGCAAAAAAAAAAAACCACACCAAAAGTCAACTAACCTAACAAAAACCTCCACCAGTACTAAAGGAACTCGCAGCAAAGATTAGATTAGGAGCCTATTAAGTCCTTGCTCTTATCAAGAAGTTGTGGTACCAGGTGGGGTCAAGATGATTCAGGAAAAAAAAAAATGAGAGAAGGGAAATCAATTTTTGTTTGTGGAAACAGGGACTATTTGAGATGCTGAACATGTGTATTGCTCTGAAACTCATTAGGTACAAGAATCCACATATTGAGTAAATCTGATGAGAGCTAAAAGGAAAAAGGAAGCCAGAGTTTCTAAACAGGTGTAAAAAAAAAAAAAAAAACAACAAAAACAAATAACATGAGAAGACAAACATTTCCCAACACCCTCAGAGGGGATGTGGAAAAGAAGAGCTGCAGCTGACCAGTTCCAGGTATCCTTACTGCACATTTACAGGCAGGAGACCAAACAAAATACACAATTGTATGTTTTTCAGTATCTCTGTGACAAATATTTTACTGCAGCTTCTATTACTGATGAAAGAGAGGTACTAAGTGTTTACACTGATGGACCAAGTGAAAAGCTGCTGAAAAACCCATCACCAGTTCAGTAAAGAACGTGGGTTCTGTGAAGAATTTAAACATATGCTTGACTTTAACAGTCCCTAAACCTGACAGAAACCACCATGACTTCAGTAGATAACAAAAGCAAATAACAAGTTCCCTGACAGGGAAGGACCAGGAGCTTTATCTGCAACAAATGCCAACTTCAGCACAGACAAGGCTGAATTTTAACACCTGCCCAAAGCACACAGACACAGCTAATAAAGTCAGCTTTAAAATGCACAGTCAACTAAAAACACAATGGTAAAAATTTCCAACTTGAAATGTCTCAGTTTCATGTTACAGCACTGCCTGTTTGTCCTGCATCCCTGCTAACACACAGAATATTCCACCTTGTGACGTTTAAATAAAAACTCTTGCTTGTAGCTTTGGAGCTTTCATTCATCTATTTACTATTGTTGCCATAGTAGAATATTTTAAAATGAAAAAGCTTCTTATTAATTTGCTTAGGTAGTTAGAACACGAATCTGCTGAAAGATTTGATTATTTCTTCATATCATCCCCACCTGATACTTTCATTTTTATCCTCCACTAGTTTCTTGCAGAGTTTTGATCTTTATTTTAGGTTTAGATGGCAACACCTCTGTCCTGTTAATTCAGGGCAGCTCCTTTGTGCTCTTGCAGCAGTTCTTTCCTGGCTGTTTATGAATGTACACACATATTAATTTCAGGCACAAAACAAGCTTGCACACAGTAGGTTGAGCAGGAAAATGATGCAAACACCGGCAGGTTTAGAACTGTCATTCCTTTCTTTGCTGTGCAGTGATGAAGACGTGTAATGTCTGCAGCAAAAGTCTGTGAGGCTGTGCCAGCTGGCTGCCTGCCCCAACTCCAGGGAATCCAGGGAATAGGAATAAATGAAGCCCAAGCAAATGGCCACCATCTGGGTAAAGCTCAAGTGAGCTTGTCTGGACAAGGCTCCAGGGTCGTGTCGATGAAAAGGACTTTAATGTTAAGATGCATCTGTGAAGGTGCAATTGCTCCTCCTGTGAGTCTGGCTGGGCTCAGTGCAGGTGCAGGGAGTTGGCAGGAGCTATAAACGACCTATAATTTAGAGGTGTTTAAAGGTGCACGTTTTTTAGGTGTATAAACAGACACCTCTGATGCCTATCTACCAATACAGCCTTGAAAACAGAAAGACAGCCTTAAAAAGGAGTGAAAAGTGCCTGGAGCAGCCACATAAGTAATCCCTTCTAGAGGGCTTATTCAGACCTGTTGATTCTCTATTATTTTTTCCCAGTACAAACACCAATGTTTTGCTGCAGTTAATCACTTGTACATCTGTAGGACTTCAAGATTTTTGAATGCAAACCACAAATTTTGCACTTACAATACCTGCTGAGAAGCATCTGCAGTTTTAGCAGCTACAATGTAATGCATCACCAAAGGTCTCTGATTCTGAAATCTTGGTTCTAGACTTAGTTTTTCTACTTCTGATTGTTGTTACACAGTGTTTCAACCATTTGTGTTGTGACAAGATACAGGAGGATTTGTATTTTTGGATCTCGTTCACTAAAAGACTTAGCTTTCAGAAGTTAGTTAATTATTGTTGAATTTAATCTATTCTGTGACTCTTGGGATGTTCAGTTCCTTTGTCTGTTTTATTTTACTCCAGTCTGTGCTTGATGGTGAGTGCCCCTTTGGAAGAACCACTCAGTACATCTGTGTATCCCTTGTAAGTTTGGGAATCCTGAGTCTGTAGCTGCAGTTCTGAGTCCTTGGATGATATTTTTGTTACTTGACTGACAATGTTTTTTCCATACAAAGCCATTAGTCCTGTAATAGATGCTCACTAATATGAATATTTTTCATTTGTATATTTGTCTTTATGCATTTATATGTTTCAAATGCAAGTGATGTCATGTTTCCAAAAAAGAAATCCTCAAAATTTCATCTGTATGATGTTGAAAATTCACAAACCTACCCACAGTGACAACCACTGCAAGCCAATGTTGCCAATTATAGGTGATCCAAGCATTACAGACCTGCTTAAAAATACGAAAGAACTTCAACTCCTAGTTCACAGCTTCAGATTAAAGTTTCTTTGGCAGATTCTGGCAGCACGGTGACAACCACAATCAGCACTGCAATTTCCAGCCCCTGTCACACACATCCAATGCCAGGTGGGTTTCTATTTATGCTTTTTCCTTATTTGTACAGGACTTTATACCTGCACTGAAACTTATTCCTGTATGTCTGTCCAGGAAGAAGAGAGAACAGTCTGTTTCTGCCAAGCACTATTAAATTTTCCAACCCCCACTGCCTCAACCAAGACTTGCAATTATTGACCCTTTATGCCACAGAACTGAGACCCAAGTGAGGATTCTCGTGGCTCATAAACAGCAACTCTTCCAGCTGAAATACAGGGATCATCCTTCCCGAGGAGCCAGGGGGAGCTGTGCTGAGCTGCTCGGCTGGAAGTCACTCTGCATCTGGGAGAGACTGATGTAAAATCATTCCTGCCAGGGCAGCTGGGGTGAAGAATTTGTTTTGGAATTAAGCAGATGCCCCTCAAAACTATGCACTGCCTTTTAAAATCCAGTTGCCATAACAACTGTACAGTACTTTTGCTCTCAAACAAAGCACTTTTTTTGTGTGTGTATTAGGAAGCTTGCACTCCAGGAGAGCAGCTGATTTACTTTCCCTGAGGAAACACCATATGACTTGCAAAATGTCAGGGAGTGAAGAACACAAACTGGTGCTATAAAACCACATTAGAAATAAAACAGTTTATAACCTCTCTGGGTTCTTAACTCTTTTTTTTTTTTTTAAATAAATGGAAAGATTAAGTCAAAATGTACCACTGACAGTACCAAGGCAATGGCTCTGAGACATTTTGAGTTATGAAAGGGTTGAATGCCAGGCCCTGAAACCTCTGACAAAGTAGGTTTAGATTGGATATTGGGAAGAAATGCTTCCCTGTGAGGGTGGTGAGACCTTGGCACAGGTTGCCCAGAGAAGCTGTGGCAAGTGTTCAAGGCCAGGCTGAACGGAGACCTGAGCAACCTGGTTTAGTGGAGGGAAAAATATTACAGGAAAAGTTTTCCTGTGGAGAGTAAATCAAACACCTGCCTATTGAACTGGTTAAAACTGCAACACTTGATCTTCACTCCTAGACCTGAGATCCCCCTATGTCCCTATGGAAGGGGCAGGGACCATGACAACTAGCACTGAAATTAGTGCATTCCAGCTTGGAGAACCTCAGTGTGTGAGAGCAGAGGCTGGTGATCAGTTTTTTACATCACCAGTGATATATGTGTTGGCATTTTTTTACATATGCAATATAAGCTTGCCCTGTACTTCTTCCTCATTCTTCTCTAGTCATGCTGTTTGCATAATTTTCATTTTTCTTTTGTATTTAGAGTGCTCCTCTTCACTCTGTATCCACTACAGCTCTTTCTTAACTGGGAAAAGTAGATTCCCCATGCAGCTTTATTTTGCTGACAAAAAGCAGTAACCACGTTTCTAGAAAGCAAACACTGTCAAACAGCTTTGTCATAGTCTGAGCAGAATTAGGCTTGCATATATTATTTATCAAATAACACACAGAAAGGAAAAAATGCTGCACGTAGCACTGACCCCATCACCCGAAGGCACGAGGGTGTCTGACTTGCACTGACTGGGAGGTCCTTCCTGGGTCACTGCAGGCTTGAGAAGCTGCAAGTCTGCATTTCTAATTAATTTAATTACCCGGGGATCAGAAGTTAAGTGCTTCTTGTGTTTGCCTCAGCAGCCACTTGGTACTTTGAGTGCATCCCTGTTAGGAGTTGCCCGTGTGAGCAGAAGTGTCAGCAGTGTGTGCACACACCGTGGGGGCAGCACTGGCAGCAAATACCTGTTTATGCTTTTGGCTCCATTTGTTTAATTGATAGTCATTAAACAGAGTGACTCCATTACTAAGAAGGGCCATTATACTCCTCACACATGCTAATTTAGTAATTGTGACTGCCTATGTTTTCATATTAATTCGTTGTTAGGACTTTGCTAAGTCAGGGGCTTAGTCCTTTTCCTCCTGAATGGGATTTTTGGGAGCACAGTGAAAACAAACTGCATTCTATATTGTGCAATAATCCACCAAATACCCAAACCTAATCACCCCAAAATT